TCCCGTGCCGCCCCCCTTGCGCCGCCTTGCAGCCGAGGGCTCGGTGGTGGAGGGCCACCGCCATGGCGGCGAAGCAGCCCCCACCGCTGATGAAGAAGCACAGCCAGACCGACCTGGTGAGCAGGCTGAAGACGCGCAAGATCCTGGGGGTCGGCGGGGGGGGCGACGACGGGGCAGGGCAACAGGTCCATCGTTCAAAGGTGAGGGGCAGGGGAGAGGGAAACCCGCGTGCAGTAGTGACGGAAAAGAGACTTTCTGCCTGAGCAAACCCCCGGTGGTTTTTTTCTCAGCATCTAACTTCTGCAGCCTCTTTTGCAAAAACGGGGCTCCCAGCTCCATGGGGCTCATGTAAAATGAGGGGTGAAGGCTGTGGTGGCACGAGCAATGCTGCCTTTGAGCAGCGACGGGGCCACGCAGCCTGCTGGGTGCACGGGAGCTGCCCGAAACGGCTTTTCGTGGTAATGGGCCAAGCTCTGCCCTCAAGCTGCTTTAATCCATTCCCGAAATTGTATTGCCGGGACACCCGTGAGCTAGCTCAGAACTGGTGCCGTAGGACCCTGGCACCACCAATGGCCACCAGCCGGTGGCCTGGACACTGGAGCAGCAATTTAAGCAGCGGTGGAAGAAGCCTGAATTGCAAACAACCTCAGTGAAATACCGGAGCGGGAGGACAAGGGTGAGCCCTGTCCTTCATGCTATCTGGAGAGCTTGCTGGCAGGGCAGCAAGTTGCCCGGCTCCTGCCTGCATGTGGGGAGCCGGGCAGCGCCCTCTGAGCTCTCTGCAACCAAAAGGTCCCCCAGTACCTTTCCCTGTGGCTGGTCTGTGTAGCCCTCCCATCCGTGTGGTTTGGGGAGGTCACGGCCGGGCGTCGCTCCGGGCGGTGGGAATGTGGGACGGATGCTGTGACAGCCCGAGGGCTCTGCCGGAGCCCGTGCTCCGTCGGGGTGTGACTCGCAGGCAGTGGGAGGAGACGGTTCCCTGCTCACGTAGGTGAGAGGAGGCAAGAGTTAACGTTGACCCGGCCCCACGCTGCACGTGGCGGATCCCAGTAAGGGAGCAGGAGAGGCTGCAGCTCCCGATGGAAATCGAGGCAGCCTTCGGCAGGTGTTGGGACCGAGGGGTCGCCGATGAATCCCTTGTCCTCGTCCTCCTTCGGCCCTCTTAGGGATGAACTCTCACATGGGGTTAGGTATGCATTTCTGGGCTGGCTAATACTGCCTAAAGGCTGGGGAGGCTCTGCTTAGTCACCTTGTGTCTTTTATTTGAATTTCAGATTAGCCAAGTACTGGGAAACGAAATCAAGTTTGCTGTCCGGGAACCGCTGGGGCTCAGGTAAGATATTGGGCCACCTTGGAGCTGGGTCATCTGAGGGCCCTCGGCCGCAGCATCCCTGACAGCTCTGGCCGCTGACACCAGCTCTGCTGCCGCACCAGCGTCGCTGCTCCCTGCTGGGGGCGGCGGGACCAGACCAGCTCTGCTTTCTTCCCCCATAAATCAGCCTGAGGCCCTCAAGCTCTTGTCCCACAGGAGGTGCTGGGGAACCACAGGGGCTGTCTGGGGCTGGAGGAGCTCCTGGTCTCATGTGTGACAGGGTGGGACGTTCTTTGCGGACCCCTCCTCTGTGCCATCCTCTTGGCCGGGTCGCTTCCCTCCTCTGCTTGGGTGAGGGGGATTTCGGCTCTGTCTCGCCAGCGATGCTAGCCTGTGTGTCGAGGGTGGAGGTAGGGGAGGCACGGGGAGCTGAGTCCTCCCAGGGGAGGCTTGCGGCTGCCTCGGTTGTGCAAGGGGGGAGGATGAAGGCTGATGACCGAGCTTTGCGAAGTGTGAGCGATGGGATCGCCCCCATGCTCACGCCGGGTCCTCTGTCTTCCCTCCCACGCAGGGTCTGGCAGCTGGTTTCCGCCGTCATGTTTTCCGGGGTCGCCATCATGGTAAGTGAGGGATGTTGTCCTGGGCATCGCCAGCTCCCGGCTGCCAAAGGGGTGCCCCAGCGTGGCTCCTCGGCCCCCAGCATGTATCCTCTGCCTCCGGCAGCTGCCGCCGCTTTCTCTTGCAAGGCCTTTGCCCTCACCACGTCTCGGTAATGGGTTTTGCTAGCAGCGTCCTTGGCGGTTTGCTCCCATCAGCGGAGTCTGTTTTCATTAGCAGGGTCGTAAACCACACACGGCACGGCAGTCTCGGCCATAGAAACCAGCCACGAAGCCAGTAGCTGACACGCTGATATTTCCTGCGCCTCCTTAATTTCCCATTTCCTGGCCAGCGGCTCTGATCCCATAAAGGCTCGATGTCGGAGCACTGCTGCCCGAGAGGGCAGGTTTTGATGGCCCTGGCCCATGCAGGCTGCTGAGTCTCTCCCTTGCCTCTGCCAGGCCCTTGCTTTCCCTGACCAGCTCTACGACGCCATCTTCGAGGAGGAATCGGTGAGCAGCAAGACTCCCATCCGGCTCTATGGAGGAGCCCTCCTCAGTGAGTGCCGTGCCACTGTACCTGGGGCACGCCGCTGCCCCGTAGAGTAGGGGGACGAGAGGCCAAAATGGCAGGAGGGGTGGAAGTCTGTGCCCAGCAGGACAACTGCAGCCGGAGAGCAAAGAAATGCTTTATTTAGGGGTATTTTGAGAAGCTCAGCTACTGCTGCTTTTTCCTAGTAGGGGCTCAGGCTGGCTGCAGGCAGGGTAGGAGGGGCTGTGCACGCTCTAAATACCTGGGGGAGTCCCCCAGGTGCCCCAGCAAAGGGGAATTGGGAGATGGGGTGCTGGGCTGCAGCTGGGGCCAGACCCTCCTCCTGGGAGTGGGAGGAGAGAAGGAGCAGGCGATGGCATCCCCGGGGGGCT